AAGGGATGTAGTGGGAGAAAAGTGGTTCGGGAGAGGGGATTTGGTTGGACCGGGGTTGTCGGAGTCACACGTGGAGGAGGTTTAGACTTGGAAAAGTGGTCCGTGTTGATGTATTATTATACAAAGAAAAGAAAATGGATTATGTGAACCAACACGTGGCCGGATGGTTAGGAGGACAGTGGTATTTCCAGCCTATCAGGGTTCAAGTTCTAGACTTAACATTGGCTCTCGTATTAGTCCTAGATTTATTTCAAACTTTCGGTGATGTTCGTTCAGTGGAAGGAGTCGTCCCGTGGATTGCAAGGTGTTTATGGAACTTCGTAAAATCTCAAGATGCTATGCCGGCCCAGCCTCTTAAAGGTGCTCAAAGGTAGGGTGTGTGTGCGTGCGTGTATGTTCATGTACGTGAGCGACTTCGATTATACTGTATTCAGAAGAAAAAAAATAAGAAAATGGATTTTTTTTTGTCGTGTCTAATCCTGCCTTGCCTCCTCCGGGTGAGAGAGTCCGTTTCCTCTCGTGGTAGGTAGCCCCGTCCGGCGGCGCCGATGCTAATACCTTCAATAGCCCCTTGTTGGCTTCACATCCAATTCGAGATAGAAGCGCGGGATCCCCTCGCCGCGCGCCCTATTCTGTGTGGACAGATCCATTGAGAGGCGCCCTTGATTCCTGGCTGTTGTATCATGGGGTTGCTAGCTCTGAAGATGCTCATGTCTAGGCGGCGGGATAGCAAGCATCTTTGCGGCCAGATTCAAGCCCGTAGTAAGTCGTCGCTTAGCTCCTTCTCGGCTTCTCTGTTTGCGTTTCTTTCCAGGGAAAAACCCGATCTTTCTGCTGTGCGGGTGGGGATTGGGGGGTGTGGTAATTGATTATGTTGACCAAAATCCGAAAGCCAGACAGACAATGTTTTTACTTGACCTTAAAATCTTACTTTGGTGCACAGCAGGAATCGTTCCTGTTTCCCCTTCTTCTGTTTTGCGTACTCACTCTGAGACTCTGCAACCGAGCTCCCATTAGTTGATATTCCCTCCGTTCCGTAATTATTGTCATGGTTTTAGTTCAACAATAATGATGGAACCGATGGAATATGAATTAATTAACGTGGGTGTGGCTAGCTCTCGTCTAGATAAAAATTAACTAAGTCTCATCTACAAAATAGAAATAAAAATCCGTACGAATCTTCTCATAAAATCAAATGACATACGAGTTAGATGGAACTTTGTTAAGACGAGAATGAACAAATCCGTTAATTATATCAATTATTGAAGATTTGAGAGGTAAAAGATTCAATGATACTTCATCTGTAAACTAATATAAAAGCGTTTAGATCACTATTTTAGTATTCTAAACGCTCTTATATTAGTTTATGGAAGGAGTACTTCTCTACCATATTTCCTGAGGACCCATCAGTATCCATTCAAACCAGAATAGTCCCTAGGCTTCATAGCATCCAAATGTGAACCAAGGGATGGTGGCTAGGAAAGGGTATGGGTATCACTGGCCGATGGGCTTTATGTTCTGTTGAAATGAACAAAATTGATGGAATTTCGGGAATATTGCAGTCTTGTGGTTTTTGAAGTTGCTACAGTCCTTTCGCAAAACTTAGGTAAATAGATTTATGTTTCTGCTTGATTTGGTGTTTTCAATGTTTTTGAAGTTGCTAGTGTCCTTTTCACAAAACTTAGATAAGGGAAGCAAACTAGATTTCTGCGTGTGCTTGAGTTTGTTGTTTTTTATGGTAATGTCTATATTACTAATACCCATGCATGATTTGTTGCAGATAGATTGGTTACTTCAGTGGTTAAAAGAAAGATCTCTTCATGCCAACACAATAACAATCAAGGTTGCAAGAGAGTGGCATTTTCAGGGGCAGACCTTCCAGAGGTACGGCATACTACAATGCTGATAATACTAGTAATTAGAGTAAAACACGACTATGACTATTCTAGCCTCAAAGTGCACAAATTGATATGGACTGATCTTGTAGTGCTGCATTCTCCTGCAGTACGTACTACAACATTAGTTGCTTTGCTCAGTTCTAACTATTCCAGCTCAGAACAAAACTCTCTGTCAAGAGATGAGGGTGAGTTGCTTTGCTATTTTTGTTCGATACATTTTAGCAAGGTAAGAAAGAGAGGTGAGACACATGGATAGACCACCACTAATCCTCACCCTCAATTGAACAAGTTTTAGAACAAATTATTGGTTAATAGGCTACAGAGCAGCGGCGAGTCTAGTAGGGGGCCTTCAACAGGCTTGAGCCTACCCTCCAGCAAAACAAAAGCTCACCAGTCCATCTAGAGCCCGTTCGCTGTAGCAAAACATACGAGCAATATCTCTCTGTTCGTAACTTTGCACCCAGCCAGCCGTGATGCGTCCAACAGAAGTGCAGAATAATAGTCGCAACCTCGCAGGACTGCAGCCCTCAACAGAGGAGTGCACCGACAGTATGGTAGAGGAGCGCGCTGGCAGTAGGGTAGTGGAACGCGGCGGCAGTACCGCAGTAGGGAATTGGAGCGTGCTGGCCGGCCCACAAAGGAGGGAGAAGGCCACAACCTGGGCAGCTCCACAGCTGGGCGCATTCCCGCTTTGGCCACTGGAGGGCCAACCCGCAAGATGTTGGTCTAATTCTTGATTTATTTCGTTAAATTAGTAACACTAATGGCTAGCTCATGAAATGTTAAATAGTTTACTGTTGAATACAGCTTGTTTGCCTATTTACAAAAATAAAGATACTATGAGTATTCTATGAGAAAGAGATATCCACAAGCATAATTTTCAGTAATAATTCTAGTGTTGGGCACTTGGGTATACTTTTCTTTATTTTGGTTTGGAGCCGTTCAACAATATGGCAGTATGAAGCAACACTGATATCATTGTTTTTGCCTTCTTTTGCTGTTTTATTGTTGCTTCTCTCAGACTAATGTATTGGTATGTGAATTCCTAGTACATGACACTATTTTCTATGATGATGCTAATTTAGTTTAGTCATCGTTAATTTTGAGCCCACCCTCCATTTCCTTTCTGGATTCGCCACTGCTTCAGAGTAGGATTCTACAAGTGGTTCATAGAAATCAATACGACCTTTTGAAATCTCACACAATACAAGATTGTCTGGCTTGGGCATTCGAGTACATTCCCTTATTTGGGCTTACCACTTGGTACAACACGTCCTATAATTCAAGATTTTGTGACCCTTGGTGGACTGTGTGGAAAGAAGATTAAACGTCTGCTCCCGCTTTTTGACATCTGGTGGCTCTCTAATTATGTTAATTCAGTTATGTCAGCGCTCCCTACATTTTACATAGGCTCTCTTAAGATTTAGAAAAGGACGATCCAGTCAATGGACAGAGCAAGACGCCACTGTCTTTGCGCCAAAGGGAGGATGGCATTGATCAAAAACCCAAATCCTTGGCTATATGGGATATAGTTTGCATGCCAGCAGCTTTTTAAGTTTTACAATTGTGCTAACATTTCTTGGCCGCAGCTGGTTAGGCATGCATATTATCAGAATTTTGTTCCCCACGGCTCATTTTGGTGGCGGGACATTTGTTCTTTTGCTTGGCACTTTCGGGCTATTACCGCACTTGATCCAAGAACTGGCATGACTATACTTCCGTGTGAAGATAAGTGGCATTCTGGAGCTTCACCTCCCGAGATTTTTATAATTTTCTGTTGAGCACAATATATTCCTTGCCCAGGCTGTTCAAACAAAAGATATAACAACTTTGTTCATTCTGCCCCTGTCTGAGCAAGAGTTTGAGGAGCTTTAGGTTGTCTCTGCCCATTCAGATGACTGTTCAGGATGGTCTGTCAGATTCTTGGACGTGCTGTTTAAAACTTCAAATGCTGGGCGTTTTACTCCATCTAGCTACAAATTCCTATTTGCTGGTTTGGAGGTTGACCCAATCTTCTCTAAATTATGGAAAAGCAAATGTATGACCAAGCTGAAGGTGTTTGCTTGGTTATTTTTAATGGATCGGCTCAATAGTAGGGGTCTAATGCTTCGGAAACATTAGCATTTGGAGCCTGGTCCCAATTGTGTGCGCTGCTCTGAGGGAATTATTGAAACAAGGAACCATATCTTCTTTGAGTGTTCTTTTGTAGCTAGGTGCTGGAATTTTGCAGAAGTCACTTGGCTCCCAGGTCTTTCTCTGTTCCATTCTTTCCATGCAACGAAAGCTTCCTTTCAGAGCTCATGTTTCATTGAGATCATTACTTGTGTTGCTTGGAATATCTAGAAAGAAAGAAATGGTTTGATTTTTAGCAAACAAGACCAATATTTTCTTCTTGGAAAGCTAGGTTCCTATCTGATCTCAACCTCACTGCTCATCGTTTCAAGCAAACCGAGAAGCAAAAGTTTGAAACTTGGATCTATAGCCTCTGGCCTTGGCTCTTTTTGCTTTTGTTGCTCCTCGGGGTTTCTAGCTATCTAGTTCCCCACTGAATTGTTAGCCTTGTTAACCTACATGTAACCTTTCTGTTTTATGTACTATATTTATTAATAGAAAATTACCCTTGGGGGTTCCCCCAGGATTTCATGGTAAAAAGAATAGTAGGAAAGTACCGACAACACAGTTTTTTGTGAACTAAATCTTACTCCCTCCGTCCGAAAATACTTGTCATCAAAATGGACAAAAAGGGATGTATCTAAAACTAAAATACATCTAGATACATCCCCTTTTATTCATTTTGATGACAAGTATTTCCGGACGGAGGAAGTATAAAGAAACATCCTGCACATGCTCACCCCATTGAAACAACCACTTGCCTGTACAATTCCCCTTGTAAACTTTTCTCCAATGTTTGTGTCTATAGGACATCTGGCGCCATATACATTCCCTACTGCCGCTGCGAGATGCTGCCCGTGTTGCCTGCGTATCTCATGCATTTTTACGTTCCTGGAAATGCCATCCCAACCTCTCCTTCACTAGGAAAGCACTGGGCTGGGCCTGAATGGAATTCCACGTCAAAGTGATGTAATTGCAAGGGATCTCACTATGAAAGTCGACCACATTCTCAAAAAACACTCAGGCAAAGGAGTTAAGAAATTCAGGATCGAATTACACATTCCAGTTGATCCCTGCTATCTTAATAGCTGGCTTCAGATTGCTGCTGAACTACGGATTGAGGAACTCGCCGTTGTTCTACCTTCAACCTGCAATGCAAATGACTACGATTTCCCTTGTGCACTTTTTGTTGATGATGGGTGTAGAAACGCAATAGAGCATCTCTGCCTTGGCGGTTGTGCCTTCCATCCCACAGCTGGATTTGGTTACTTGAGAAAGCTGCGGCTGTTTTGGGTGCATATTACGGTGGATGAATTAGAATGCCTTATTTCCAAATCTCCAGCTTTGGAGCACTTGGCACTCAAGTATTGCTATACGATCACTTACCTGAAGATACCTAGCCTGCTACAGCATCTCAGCTACCTGATGGTGGCTGCATGCGCTAATCTGCAGACAATAGAGTGTAAAGCTCCAAATCTCTCCACTTTTTACTTCAGTGGTCGACAAGTTGAACTTCTGTTTGGATGTTCAGTTCAAGTGAAGACCATGGAAATGCGTTGTTCTACTCAGTGTAACACCATTTATAATGCTTGTGCCAACCTGCCATCCATTGTGCCAAATATTGAAACTCTCAGCATATCTTCTGTTAGTGAGGTAAACTGCGGAACTTTTGATTATCATATATACCTTGAAATGTTACTAATGTGAGGCGTATTCTTGAAGGTGGTCAATACACCAATCGTGCCTGTAAAATTCCTCCACCTCAAGTATCTGTCTATTTCTCTTGAAGGAAATGGGGCTTTTTCCCCAGACTATGATTACTTTTCTCTGGTTTCTTTGCTGGATGCTTGTCCTGTCTTGGAAACTTTCAACTTGTTTGTAAGTCGCTCTTTCATCTTGAATCATATCTACTGTCTAGTATCTTCGGTGGTACGATCCAAGTATCTTGGTTTTTCACATTGTCAGGGACACTGATATTGAACATTGCGCATGCAGGTGTCACAGGATCGCATGAAACACGATTCGGTTCTTGGAGACCCGTCGTCACGTCTTAGGCAGATGCCTGAATACCGCCACGACAACATTAAGAATGTGAAGATTATTGGGTTTTGCTCTGCGAAGAGCATGGTCGAGCTGGCATGCCATATTCTCGAGAATGCAACATCACTCGAGTGCCTTACTTTGGACACGATACGTGCTGTTTTTAGTATTGACAGACACATTCACAAAACCGGTGAATGTGGCCACATAGGCAGGCATATGATCAGAGAAGCACGTAAGGCGCTCTTGGCTGTCAAAAGATATATTGTGGGAATAGTTCCCTCCACAGTCAAGTTAAATGTCCTGGAGCCTTGCAAGCTATGCCATGCTTTGGCTGTTTAGCTGTGGTAATATCATAATTTTGTAAATTACATTGTGGACCGAACACTGTTGCATGAGTTGCGACTTGCAGAAACACCCATGTAGAAGCATAGGGGCAAGCAATTATGGTATTTTGATATATGAGAGAAGATATCAGAAACTATTTAGTATTATAGTTGTTGATATATTTTCTTATAAAACTTGGTCAAAACTTACAGCATTTGACTCGAGACAAAAGTTATAGGCCTTCTCTGGGGAGACAAGGGAGTATCATGTAACTGAGATGTGCTATGCAGTTATCCCAACAATCTTGTTTATCTTTGTCCATGAAATTATTGTTTTTGATCTTTATTTTTATTTTCACATATGCTGTGATTTGGTTCTTGTATTTTGTGTAATCAGCTTGACATGTGTTGTGCTTGAGGTATACTGTGATGATGTTTGATGAAAACCAGAAATTTTGGCTCTGGTATTTGCCTGATGAGAAAACAATCAAATAAAAAGCAGAAGCCTAAAAATGGGGATAGTACATGGAACTACAAATTATTATAGACAATTACACATGTTTGAGAGCCGTGTAGCATCAACAATGGTGCCCAGATCAGCAGGGTTCATTTTACATCGCCTCCAAATCAGTGCTGAATCGTCTCCCTTGTTGATTCAGAGAACATCTACTCTAGTGGTACAGATTGCAGAAATGGTGGCTGGATCATCGCCCCTCGCCGCGGGCGTTGAGCTGGGAGAAGACCTGGCTGTCGGCGAGGTCGGTCATGCTCAGGCCCGTCTCGTCCGCGTTGTCCATCACAAGCTTCAAAATATCGGATATCGGGTTCGTATCGGTTTTGCTTTGACATATCGGATGTCGGATATCGGGTGATATATCGGACGATATGTAGATATATCGAAGAAAACATGTCTATTTTTTTCATTCTTCTTGTTCAAAACATGTATTTTTTAGTAAAACAAAATGTATGATGTCAATGCTTCAACATAACACATTTAGGTTCCTAGTTTATTAACTCGTTGATTAAGAAACTATTAAGGAAAGATTCACAAAATTCTTAACCTATGATTAAAAAAATACGATATGTATGCATTTGTACGAAACATTGCGCATGACTTTGATAATATATGCTGAAGTTGTAAGTGCATAATATTATTTCACTATTATTTAATAAAGAATTATTGTTATCTACGTATCGTGCTATATCGGTGGACATATCGGGCTAGATATCGGCCATATCGGTTGACATTTCGGTCCATATCGGGTGATATGTTTGAAAATGATATTTACAAAATGATATGTTATGTATATATCGATAGAGCCCCAAAAGTGATATATCGGCCTTTATATCGGTCATATCGGCCTTGATTTAAAAGCTTGGTCCATCATCAGCAGGCTTGTATATTTATCTAGGATGTGTAACATGTATGCAATATTCATCATCAGCAGGCTTGTATATTTATCTAGGATGTGTAACATGTATGCAATATTTTGAACCAACTTCCGCTATCTTGAAAAGTAACAGCCAAAAATATTTATTGAGTTCCGCCTCAATGTCTCCAACATCATCTATTCAAGAATGGAGGGGCCGTAGTTATGTATATCGAATCAACTAAATTAGAAATCACAATAGAGAGTTCTCGCCAAAAAAAAAATCACAATAGAGAGAATTTAAATATATACGTATATGCAACCAGGAAAAAAAGTTTTGCGAGTTTGTGTTAAAAAAGTTGTTCACGGACAATTAAACGGGCCAAAAATTTACATGCCAAAGTCTGGCCGGATCCCCTAAAAAAAAAAGTCTGGCCGGATGGCCGCGCAAACGAATAATCCTGCCTTGCTTTGCCCTGTTTTTTTTTTTTTTTTTGGAAGGGTTGCTTTGCCCTGTTGCGGGGGTGAGAGTCCGTTTCCTCTCGTGGTGGGGTGGGTAGCCCCGTCAGGCGGCGCCGACGCTATTTCCTCGGCCGCGCCTTGTTGGCTTCGCCTCGAATTCGAATTAGAGATAGAAGCGCGGGATCCCCTCCCCGCGCGCCCTATTCTGTGTGGACAGATCCATTGGCATATACGGAGTAGAAGAGGAACAGAGGTTGAGCCCTTTTTGGCGCGCTCGATTTCTCGCTTTCGTATCATGGGGTTGCTAGCTCTGAAGCTGCTCATGTCCAGGCAGCGGGGCAGCAAGCATCTCGGCGGCCAGATTCAAGCCCGCAGTAAGTCGTCTCTTAGCCCCTTCTCGGCTTATTTGTTTGCGGTTTCTGTCCCGGAGGAAAAAAAAACTCATCTTTTGGGGATTAGTTACTACTTAGACCTGAATTCTTGCCAGGCCTGAATTCTTTTGGGGATGAACCAAAACGCTCCTTTTTGGTAAGATAAGAGGAAGTTTTTGGAGGCAATCAAGGAAAAGGCCCCTGGCATGGACGGTTATAACACCTCCTTTTAGTTGCAGTGATGATCTGATACAGGAGATCGGCGACATCGTAAACCACCAGATCTCCTCCCTTCCCATTAAGTATTAGGGATTACCACTAAGCACGAAGAAACACAGAAAGGAAGATTTTCATGGTTTGATTGACAAGCTAAGAGACAAGTTGCCTGCTTGGACTACTTGACTTTTATACATCAGAATGATGCATGCAGCCATATTATGAACTAAAGTGCGGAAAAGAGCCTTCTTAGGGAAGGGGACTGATGTTGTTCATGGTGTTCATTGGCAAATGGATTAATGGATTCACAATTGAAGAACTTGCTACGGAGATTTTCCACTTGGTTCATCCAGAAACCAGAGTGAAGAGAACGGTCATTGATGCCATGACCAATGGCAGATGGATTAAGGATATCAAGAAACCAATCAATGTACTTTTCTTTGTGCAGGCGCTTGCATTGTGGGATATCCTCTCTCAAGTTCATCTTAACCGTACCTGAATGCTACTGACTCTTGGAATTGGAAGTGGGAGGCCAAGGAAGTTTTCTCCGCAAAATCTGTTTACAAGGCGTTTTTAGCACTTCGATCACTAACCTATCGGCTGATGCAATCTGGTAGTCTTGGGCTCCACTTAAATGCAATTTTTTCTTATAGTTAGTCGTTCGTGGAAGGATATGGACGACAGAACCTCCCTCATAACAAGCTATGTTTCTTCTACTCTTCTGTGATATGGTTCAGGAAAACATCCATCACATGTTCATGGAGTGCGCAGTCGTGAACTCTGCATTGGGCTGATCTGCAGGAGGTCATCCCACAAATGGATTCAAATTTGATCATGCTTATCACCTGTAGCATCTAGTGGCATTCGGCAGATCTAGGCTGCAAGGTGACAAGATAATTTTTTTGAAAAGAATTGATCTAGCAGTGGAAGGGAAGAGTTTTTTTATAATATCTTCAAACCAATACAGCATATCGTTGATCTGATCAAAGCTTTGGGCGGTGGCTAGCCCGTGATGTTTTCCTTTGTACCGAAAAAGGCTTTCGCCCCGCTTTATATATAAAGCAAACCGCCCAAGCAACAGAGAACACAAAAGTTCACACCACACACACACACACACACAGAACGAAAGTACGAGGGTCTTACTCTTTCTGTTTTGTGGTTGTTTCTGCATTGTTGTTGGTCTTGTCAGGTCCTTTGCTGGTAGTTTTCATTTTGGTAGAAGGTCGTATTCGGCTTTGTCAGGTCGCCCGTAACCTTTCTATAGCTTCAACTTCTCCTTTCTTAACATATCCTACATGCAGTTCTCCTGCATGGTTCGGAAAAATTATGTTGATCAAAGTCTGAAAGCCTGACAGACAATGTCTTCTACTTGACCTTAAAATCTTACTTTGGTGGACAGCAAGATTGATCCCTTTTTTTCTTTCTGTTTTGCGTAGTCACTCAGGGACTCTCCAACCGAGCTCCCGTTGGTTCAGAATGAATTAATTATTGAAGATTTGGAGAGGCAAAAGATTCAATGATACTTCTCTACCATAGATCCTGAGCCAGGAGTATCCATTCAAACCAGACTTGTCCCTAGGCTTCATGTGGTAGCATTCAAATGTAAACTGAGCGATGGGGGCCAGGAAAGGGTAGTGGTATCACTGTCTGATGGGTTCTACATTCCTTTGAATTGAACAGAATTGATGGGACTTCTGGAATATTGCAGTCTTGTGATTTTTGAAGTTTCTAGTGTCCTTTCACAAAACTTAGATAAGGGAAGCAAACTAGTAGATCTCTGTGTGTGCTTGAGTTTGGTGTTTTTGAAGCTGCTAGTGTCCTTGTGCAAAACTTAAATAAGGGAAGCAAACTAGATTTCTGTGTGCTTGAGTTTGTTCTTTTCGATGGTAATGTCTATATTATTATTAATATCAATGCATGATGTGTCGCAGATAGATCGGTAGCTTCAGCAGCTAAAAGAAAGATCTCTTCATGCCAACACAGTAACCTTCAAGGTTGCAAGAGAATGGCATTTTCAGGGCCAGACCTTCCAGAGGTACAGCATACTAAAATGTTGATAATACTCGTAGTTAAAGTAAAACATGACTATGACTGTTCTAGCCTCAAAGTGCACAAATTCAGCTATGCTAACTAAATAAACAAAATATGGACTGATCTTGCAGTGCCGCAATCCCCTTCAGTCCTACTACAACATTAGTTGCTTTGCTCAGTTCTAACTATTTTATCTTAGAATAAATCACTATAAGAGTTACTCTGTAATACAGGGCTGTACCCGAGAAATCGGACGACCTTATAGCTATTAAAGAGCAATGATTGAAAAAATGTTCTGTATATCTAGCTAAGTATCATGCTTCACTATGAAATAAATTTTATAAAGAAACATCGTGCACATGCTCACCCCCATTGAAATAACCACTTGTCTCTACAACTCCCCTTGTGAACTTTTCTCCAATGTTTGCGTGTACAGGACATCTGGCGCCATATACATTCCCTGCTGCCGCTGCGAGATGCTGCCCGTGTTGCCAGCGTATCTCATGCATTTTTACGTTCTTGGAAGTGCCATCCTAACCTCACCTTCAGTAGGAAAGCACTGGGCCTGAATGGAATTCCATGTCAAAACGATGTAATTGCAAGGGATCTCACGATGAAAGTTGATCACATTCTGAAAAAACACTCAGGCAAAGGAGTTAAGAAATTCAGGATCGAATTATACATTATAGTTGATCCCTGTTATCTTAATAGCTGGCTCCAGATTGCCACTAAACTACGGATTGAGGAACTCGCCGTTGTTCTACCTTCAACCTACAATGCAAACTGCTATGATTTCCCGTGTGCACTTTTTGTTGATGATGGGTGTAGAAACACGATAGAGCATCTCTGCCTTGGTGGTTGTGCCTTCCATCCGACGGCTGGATTTGGTAACTTGAGAAGGCTCCAGCTATTTTGGGTTCGTATTACGGTGGATGAATTAGGATGCCTAATTTTCAATTCTTCTGCTTTGGAGCACTTGACACTAAAGTATTGCAATACGATCACTTACCTGAAGATACCTAGCCTGCTACAGCATCTCAGCTACCTGATGGTGTCTGAATGCACTAAACTGCAGTTGATAGAGTGCAAAGCTCCAAATCTCTCCACCTTTTATTTCAATGGTGGACAAGTTAAACTTCTGTTTGGAGATTCAGTTCAAGTGAAGACCATGGGAATGTGTTGTTTTGCTCCGTGTAACACCATCTACAATGCTCGTGCCAACCTGCCATCCATTGTGCCCAATATTGAAACTCTTAGCATATCTTCTGTTAGTGAGGTATACTACAAAACTTTTGATTATCAGATATAACTTGGAATGTTACTAATGTGAATTATATTCTTGAAGGTCATTAATACACCAATTGTGCCTGTCAAATTCCTCCACCTCAAGTATTTGTCTATTTCTCTTGAAGCCGAACATGGGGCTTTCCCCCCAGTCTACGATTACTTCTCTCTGGTTTCTTTTCTGGATGCTTGTCCTGTCTTGGAAACTTTCCACTTGGCTGTAAGTCACGTTTTCATCTCAAAAGATATCTAGTCTAGTTTCTTCGGTTGTATCATCAATCCAAATATCTTCTTGGTTTTTACATTATCAGTCGATGGTCATATTAATTTTGATCCTATGCAGGTGTCGCAGACTCGCATGAAGCATGATTCGGTTTTCGGAGACCCGTCACATCTTAGGCAGAGGCGAGAATACCGCCATGAGAACATCAAGACTGTCAAGATCTCTGGGTTTTGCTCTGCAAAGAGCATGGTTGAGCTGACATGTCATATTCTTGAGAATGCAACATCACTAGAGTGTCTTATGTTGGACACGATAGATGATGTTGACGATATTGGTAGGCACGTTCATGAAACCGGTGAGTGTAACCCCATTGGTAGGCATATGATCAAAGAAGCCCGTGAGGCTCTCTTGGCAATTGAAAGGTATATTATGAAAAAAGTTCCCTCCACAGTAAAGTTAAATGTTCTAGAGCCTTGCAGGCGATGCCATGCTTTTGCTGCTTAGATGTGGCAATATCATAATTTAGTAGATTATACATTGTGGACCAAATATTGTTGCATGATGCAATATTTCACTGTGACAATGTCATAATTGAATTTATTGTTTATTACTCCCTCGGTTCCATAGTTGTCGTTAATTTAGTACAACTTTGTACTAAATCAGCGACAACTAATATGAAACGGAGGTAGTACTTTTTAGTTACAACTTACGGCGCTATTGGTTCCTTTGGTTTTTCTATTTTAAATGGGTTGTGTTAAAGGTACTATCATGCTGTTGATGAGAATAGGAAGATCTGGGTTTTTAATTGCTTGGTGAAAAGAAAAGTTGTAGCATTTTAATAAACTCTAAAAATAAATATTGCTGGTCCATAGTTCACTCCCACATGTGCAGGTAGAAATCTTCAGAAAATTTAGAACATTGAAAGTAAGCCTTGAGTTTAGTGTGATGAGTCACTGTTGTGTATCCGTGCATTGCCCAAATCAGTATTTTTTTTCAGGTGTTCACATTAAACGGCCGATGCAGTCTTCTCACGAAGCACATTCCACACTGAAAAGGCTCCACTTGGATTTTTTTTGGAAAAAATTCCCATTTATTCAAAAAATGTTAACACTTTCTGAAAAATAAACATGTTTTGATTTTTGATGAACAAAATTTGATTTTTGGATGAACATTTTTTGCATTTAATGAACAAAATTTAAGTTCAATGAACATACTTTGAATTCACTGAACATTAAAAAAATCATAAACATTTTTTAATTTGATGATTTTTTTACTTTGATGAACAAGTGTTGAATTTGATGAACAAAATTTGAATTTCAGAAAATTTTAACCAATTTGTAAAAATGTTTGAATTTTAAAAAAATCATTAATTTGAAGAAAAAAATCCCAGATTTTGGAATTTTTTGTGAATTAGGAAAGGGAAAAATAAAAAAGAAAAGAAAAACAAAAATTCAAAGAGAAAGGGAAAAAACAAAAGAAAAAATAAAAATAAAAACCAGTTTGAGAAAGTTTTAGTACCTTCCCAAAATCAAAAAGGGCTAGTTGGGGCGGCCCAAACATATGTAGCATGAAGGGGGAATGAGGGGATGAGCACGGTCGCTACACAGCGAAGGTGTAACATACAAAAATGAATAAAAAAAGAAACAACAAAGAGAAAAATAACAAGTAAAAAAATAAAATGAAGGCGTCGTCGTCTTTTTACAACTTGCCTTATCAATTAGAAATTGTAAGAATGCCCAGTTTGATCTTGAGTGGAACAACAATAAAAATCGAAGCTTAAGTTTTTTTTTGACGAGAAACATATAGCTCGGACAGAAGGTTTCTCACACGTCCAGAAAAAGAAGGCCCAATAGACAAAAGACCCTCCCTCACGCTCAGCCCATGGTGCATCCCTGCCCAATAGAAGGAAAAAAAACAAGATCAGGCTGGTTGCACTGGGCCGAGACGACTTTTTTTGTCCAAAAGGACCACCTGACCAGATGAATTGACAAAAATGACTACCAATTCATCTGGTCAGGTGGTCCTTTTGGACAAAAACAAAAATGACTACCAATCCTCAAAAAAAAAGAAGACAAAAATGACTACCTATGGATCAATTTGACAAAAAGACGACCCCCTCAGCGGTGGTGGCAGGCGCGGCAGGCGACACGTGGCGCCTGCCGCCACGATAGGAGGCAGGCGGCCCTGCCGCCACGCAACGAGGCGGCCAACAGCCTAGAACGTGTTTTCGTTGCCAGGACGGAACGGGCCAGAGCATGTGGGCCATGCCGCCACTGGATGAGGCGGCCGACACTGCTGCTGTCGCGCCCAGGCCGACAGCGCGTGCTGCACGTGGGCCGAGACCCCGAGCCATGCCGCCACTCCATGAGGCGGCAACGCTCTTGCTGCGGCATTGCCGCGCGACAACTTTGTTGTGGCAGACGATGATGATTCCCACGCCAACGATGCTGATTTCCACGGGCGGGAATTCGATGCTGTGCGGTGATTCGTATGCCCCCGAGAATCACTCACTTTGCTGGCTTTTGCTTTAGCGGATGCGACTGCTTCAGTCACTCAGCACTGCTTTTGCTTTAGCGGACGCGACCGCATCAGTCACTCAGCACTGCTTTTGCTTCAAAGGACGCGACAGCACTGCGGGAATTAACTCACTCGGTGCGGGAGTCCGAGGCTGCAGTAGGATGAGTTTTAACCTGATCTGCCGACACTACAGGGATCCTCTTCCTTTTATATGCCATACTTCTGCTCCGTGCGCAAGCATACTCTCTGTGACCTTGTTCCTCTCCTTTGCTCTCTAATTCTCTAAGTACAGAGAGAGAAAAAAAGCTCAGTAGGCACTTTCACTCGTGATTTAGGGTGATTTAGAGTTGGATTTTGAAGATGATAAAGTTGAAGAAAAGATAGATCAAGGTAAGATCTATCCATTTTTGTTTGTTTCGTTCGCATGCATGATGTTTTTACTATTTTTGATGAGTTCATAACTAAGTATTCTATGTTGTGTTAGGCATTATTTCATCACTTTTTGAGTCATTTTAGAGCTATAGGAGTAGGAATTGCCGTGCGAAGTGAACTACGAAGTTGAAGATCGAGGTATGAGCTTTGTTATACATAGATTTTTTTTGTGCATGCACAATGGTAATTAGTTAGTCTTTTAGCTCGTCATTAGCTATGCGATGTTAGTGCTTGGAAGTTAGAAATAATTTCAGACAACATATGTTGCATTTATACTATTTTTTGACAAGAGTAGGTTGAAGATGTCGTATTAATGTTAGCTGCGTCCATTAATATTAATTCGTAATTAGTACTTTTGTTGAACATTTAGGTTCGGTTAGAGCCAGAATTGGACATTAAATATTGTAGGGCATTATTAGTTTGTACCGTCTTATTGTAGGGCATTATGTTCTATCTTAAATTTATGTTGTAATTGTTGCATGACATTCGATAATTAGTTTGTATTATTAAAGTGTTTTCGGGTGGGGAGAGAAGAAAAAATTGCCGGGAAAGAAAATGACGGAAATAATTTATGCGGGAAAGAAAATACCACATTTTATTCCAAAACTATTTTTTTTCGTCCTAATGCTTTGATCCGAGCAAGGCAAACTCATACAAACGAAATTTTAGGTGGGAAATACGCGGGATCCAAAATAGTGCAACCAGTGCATGCATGAGTGCTGTCGCCCAGGCTGCAGCAATAGGCTGAAGCAAAAGCAGCGCTGAGTGACTGATGCAGTCGCGTCCTCTGAAGCAAAAGCCAGCGCTGAGTGAGTGATTCCTGTGCTGAATATTAGTTGGGCTATAGGCCCATTTAAAAATTTCAGAAAATCCCTAAGGGTCCATGCTGTCAAGGGAGTGGTGGAAAGTTTAGTCCCACATAGCTAGTTGATAGAGATGTACACCAACTTATAAGATGAGCTCTTCTTCCACTAGTATGAGTTGGTGTGAAGGAATGAGAGGTGTTCCACACGCGCTCCTCCGCCGCCCGCCTCGCCACGACGCGCCGCGGATTGCGGAAATAAGCCGAGCCGATGCAATGTTTTGCCGGTCAAAATTGGAGAGTCCATTACAGACACAAAATGAATGCGAGACGTCATATTCATTGCGGAAATGGAAACGTCCATAATAAATACATTTTATTGTGGAGATAGAAACATCTGAAATTAAACGTGTTTATTATGGAGATGAAACGTTTGCAATTAAATGTGTTTATTGCTGGACCGTTCTCCTACCCGACTTGCTATATATATGGGGCATCGCAGCTCAGTCATATACACAACACTTCACACCTCAACTGCTCCCTGGTCGTTCCTTCCACTGCTGCTGCCTTCGGTGATCCCATCCCGTCTACCGCGTACACGGCTGCCGGGAGAGCAGGCCTCCGAAACCCCGCTTCTCCAGATCCTGTATGGGAGAGAGGCGATTAGGTTTTTGGGGAGCGTCTCCTACGTGACTACTCACCTCTGTTCGACTACTTCCTCTACACCGACTACTTTCGCGTCACCTTCGTCTTCACCATGAGCATTAACGTCGATCGCGCGGCTGCCGAGAAGGCCGCTGCTGATAAGAGGATCGCCGACGAGGCCAACGCCTCTGCTGCTGCTATGGCCGACTGGCCTACTGGAGGGTATAACATATTTACCCCGCTCCTATTTATTTTCATGTGTGCAGTACTAGTGGTTTGCGTAGATGTTTCTACTATCTGCCTAGTACGTGCGTACATCATCAAAATTCAGTATGTCATTAGTACTGCTTATGTCATGTTCATGATTTATTATTGGATTAAATTAATCAAACAATTGCTTAATTTCTCAACAATCCAAAAACCTAATATGTGTAGGCAATTTTTGATCCATGGCTTTGCTGTTGCATTGAAACCAGCCCCATTTACGGGGATGTACTTTAAGCGTTGGCAGACCAAAACTATTTTATGGCTCACGGGGACGTATTTTAAGCGTTGGTAGACCAAAACTGTCTTATGGCTCACGGCGATGAACGTGTTCTGGGTCGCCGGTGTTACTCCCACGGGAACGATCGCTCCCGAACAGGAGAAGGCGTTCAGGGAGGCCACCGTCGTCTTTGTTGGATGCTTCTGAGCGTGATCGGAGATAAGCTGGTTGATGCATACTTACATATGCGGGTTGCCAAGGACTTGTGGGAGGCGCTTGAATCTAAATTCGGCGCAACGGATGCTGGGAACGAGATGTATATTATGGAGCAGTTCCACGCTTACAAAATGGTCGAAAATCATTCTGTATTGGAACAGGCTCATGAGATACAGTGCATAGCTAAGGAGCTTGAGCTTCTCAAGTGTGTGCCACCGAGCAAATTTGTCGCGAGTTGCATTATCGCTAAGTTACCTAATTCCTGGAGGAACTTTGCCACTACTCTAAAACATCATAGGTGTGAATTCTCAGTTGACGATGTCATTGGCCATCTGAGTGTCGACAGAACTCGAGGGCAAAGGACTCACACGGAAAAGGGACCGAAGGGACCTCTGTCGCAAATGTGGT